ATAAAAGTATTATATTTTATAAAAGTATTATATTTTATAAAAGTATTATATTATTGTATATTTTATAATGTCTTTAATTTCGAATGATTTTGATGTAATCGCATTGATTCCCTACAATTTTACATATTTTTTTTATATGAAACAGGAAGCTAAATGTTGTCAGTCGGAAAAATAGCTTGACCTTTACCACATTCAAAAATTTTCATTTTCAATATTATTTCAAATAAAAATTTTAATATTTTGCAATTTTTTTTTTTTCAAACAAAAAATTTTGAGCAAATTTCAAAGAAAAATATTCAAAACTCGGCCATTATGACGTCGTTTCCTGCAGTCCCACGGAAAAAAAGTACCCACGCGTTGACAGCAGAACTTCTTATAGGATCATGAAAAGCAAAAAAAACAAAATACCTATTCTAATTAAGACCATAAACTAAGTATTGGACGAAGCAAAAACAAAAATGAAAATTGTATTTTCGACAGACGTTTTTACAAAAAATGCAAATTTTAATGAAAAATTTCTCGCTGAAATCCGTTGTTAAAGACCTTGTAAGTGATATATTAAAGACCTGTGTAAAATTTCATTAAAAGCGGTTGAAAAGTTCGCGAGAAATCTCGACAACCGACTTTGAAAACACCGTATTGAGTTTAAAGTTTTAAGTAACTATATGGCTAACCTCGAGCACGCAACTTTTCAAGGTTGTATCTCCAAAGCTGTTACTCGGATCAACTTGAGAATTTAGGAAAATATTCTAGGGATGTAATAGAATTAAATAAGGCAATAAATTATTTTTTTCAAGCCGTGAAACTTATGTAACTCCTTAAAGATCAGAAATAAATTAGGGCGTGTACAAAAAAAATCGAATAACAGGAAACTAAAAAGCGGAAGACCTTCTATTAATATAAAGAGCTCAAACTTGGAGAGAATTTTTTTAAGGTGATCTACAAATCAATTTTTTTCAGAGTTTAAAGTGAAAAACCAATTTTGTTTGACCCACCCTAATACATAGTACGATACAATTTTCACTAAATTGTTGAAATAATATATGTATATTCATAGCAGGTTTTTAGGTATATAAGATAAATACATTTGACTACCAATTCAATTATTTGTTGGCAAAATCTTTGCCCTCGATTTGTAGAGCGTTTAAATGAGAGAAACTCAAGAGAAATGGAAATTTTTCATTAAATACATACAAAATATATCTATTTTGTTTAGAAAATATGCAATGCTTGCCTTTATCTCGGTCTAATGAATTCAAATGTCCTTTATCTGCATACAGTGCAAAATCTTTTTGTATTCGGTGATTTATTTGCAACACTTTTTTCGTATTTTGGCAAATAATAGTGACACTGCAGCACAATTAAAGTCGTTAAAATTTCGAAATATGCATTATATGTATATATATATATATATATATATTATAGTGTATATTAACACCATTTTCCATTGAACTGTTCAATGGCTGCGCACACTCAGTGCTGCCACATGCGAATCTGGCAACTTGACAGCGCGAAAATTTATGCCTGACACTTGCTGGCGTTGCATAAACAATAAGCGGCAAAGGAAAAGTGGCACAAAAAAAATATTTAAAACATTTATGGCGCAAGACAATGGCTAAATCGCCGAGACAAAGCGAATAATGAAATGCCAACACACGCACACACACACACAAACAATTAAATGCATGTGTGTAGGTGCAACAAAAGCGGCCAAAAATGATGCAAAATCGGGAGAAAAAATACAAAAGGAAAAAGGAAAATAAGCTTGAATCAAAAGTGGAGCAAAAATGCAGATAAAATTAAATTGTATTGCAGCGAATTGAATTGAATTGGCATTCAAAGAAAATTTATGAAGCAGGAAGCAAGTAATTGAATATGAAATAAATATGGAAAATGAATAAAAATCGTTGAAAAGCGTTAGAGCAAAAACAACAAAAGCCGTTGCACAAACACACAACTGTCACAAAAGGCAACGAAGGTCGCTGTGGTTGGCTTGATGGCCAGCACGGCGGCAACGTTTACAGCACTTCATGCCACATGCCACTTTCAGCTGGAAAAGGTGTCGCGCTTGTCTGCGGTTGACTTCGTGCGCTTTGTCTGCACCACTTTTGCCAAGCTTGCGCCAAACTTGTGCAGCGCCATGCATTACCGTTGGGATTTCGCAAGCGCTGCCTTATACGCTTATGTGGCAAGAAAAACTAGGTATGGAAAAAAATTAATAGTGTTAAAGTGTTTAAAAATGCTGGGCGCAAAAATTGGGTGGGTGTATCACAACTAGCTGTAAATTAAATAAAGTGGCGACAACTTTGATTTATGGTCGCAACGCGTCGCCGCCTGCGAGTCGACACCAATCAACTGCAAGTCAATTGCAAGTCAAGCCGAGTCAAGTCACAGGCATTTGCAACACAAAATGAATTGAATTGAATTGAATTTTATTTATAATTGCACGGGTGTTTAGAAGTAAAATGACAGCAGCCACTCAGAAAGTGTTGCATTGATTTGGATTTGGTTGAAAGTAAACAAAAACTAGAAACAACTTTATAATACCCTTCACAAATCATAAAGTTTCCATGCAAGAACTTTATTTTTAGCGATTAGTTTGTATGACAGCTATATGCTATAGGTATTCGATATCGGCGATTCCGACAAATGAGCAGCTTCTTGGGGAGAAAAGCGCGTTTGGCTGAGTTCAGATCGATAACTCAAAAAATCATAACTAAATCGACTAACTGATAACTATACAGGGTATTGTTTCAGGGTATTAAAACAGAAAAAGAGATAAAAAAAAATATAAAAAAAATAAAAAATAAATAAAAATAATATTCAAAATTATATTTTGCATATCGCTGATTAAAGTGAATGCTGTCATTTTGTCACCGCGCTCATTTAAATAAATGTTTACGCTTGTGTCGACATGTATTGCCGCAATATGTTGCACAATTAAGTATAAAGCGTGCATGCCACAAGCAAACCCATACAAAAATAAATGTTTATAAGCAAATGTAACGAAACAGGCAAATAATTAAACAAGTAATATACATAAAACTCAAAGATTATACTGCATTTCTGATTAAAAGTTCCCGCAATAGACTTCACGGTACCCCGTTGCACGTTCACTTGCGAACGGAAATGCATTGGTTTACCATGCAACTTAGCTTTCAATTAAAATCACATAAATTCATTGACAATACTTGTGTTATTAAAGCATTTAGTGAGTGAGACTTGATTAGCAGCTTAAGCAGCAGGCGCGTCTATGCGCATGCGCAGCTCATGACACAATTTCTTCACTACACTGACTTTTGTGGCCACGTCTACATATGTGGTTGATTTCAAGATTGCTCAAGTGTTTGTCGCATAAAAATCTATTTAAACAACGCTCAAGCTGGTCACACACCCACACAGAGACGCTGGTGATCACGTTAATTGTTGCCCTAATGGAATTTCGTCATAAAATTACGATTATTATTATTACTTCTACGCTATACACCATTAATCTGTTAAGTTTGGAAGATAGTGTGTGCATTAATTGCGTAAAGAGGATGTTTTTATGAACTTATATGTATTGTATGTTATATTACTTGGATATTATTGAGTTTGTTGCGAGTTTGGATGGTAAAAAAGACTCTTCTGTGCGTTACTTTAAAACCATTTGATAAGTGGTCATTTAAGTTGTTATTTTATTTTAATAAAATCTTCAAGAATTTTGAGAATATAAAATAAAAATGTGAAAGTAGCAGTTGAATGCCGCATTCACTAAATTTGTGTTAGCTAAAACTGCTGTGTGTTCTTTTTGCCTTTGAAACTTCTCTTTCCTACATTATTCAACATTACTCTACTCCAGGTTCAGGCTTCCTGATCAATACAACGTCTATCAAGCATAAGTGGCTACCATTAAGCTATCAGTAGGTCTACCGCACCGGAGCGCAGCCTCTCTCACAGTTGTGATCATACACTCTTATAATAGATAGTAGTGCAGCGAAACTATCCTTGAGCTTGCAGACCATATGCTCTAGACTAGTTAAGGAATGGCTCGAATTTTTAACTCTGGAATCGAGTTACTTCATGATTAGACTGGATGCCTGGTCATAGCGGAATATCAGGAAATTGTGAGGCTAATGACCTTGCTAAGTTAGGTAGTTCTATTACACTAGCTGCAGAATGGGAACGGGTATTAGCTTAACTGACATCTTATGAACCACTAATGGATGGTTGGGCCTCAGCCGAGCTCAGCAAGCGCTGGTCAGATACTGGCAACTGTGCTATTGTAAGCTCCTTCTGGCCTAGGGTAAATAATAAGAGGACTAGTGAGCTCCTCACCCTCAGCAAAGTTTATCTTATAGGAGTTCTAACTAAACACTGCCCGATTGCGATTCATGAGGGAAGATTTAAAATTTTACCTGATGCTTGAGTAGGAGATAGAATCATTCCAAGACTTTCTTCTCAAAGCCAGATGTAGGCTAAAATACGTCAAATCTTACGCTTTTTGACATCCCGGTGGATTAGCGGAAATATTAATAAAGTATTTAAGCGGTTTAAGTTGCTATGTCGAGATTAAATATCAGTTTTTATTTGGTTTCACAAAGGAGTGCAGTTGGCAGTCTAAGATGGCGGGGAGTCTTATGGGATGAGCAACCTAACCTAACTTAACTAGCCTAAAATAACCGCAGAGATCGTTTCACAATTGAGGCTTCTTCAGTTAGGTATTTATTTTAAATCTATGTATATCAGTCGTATTTGTTCCATACCGATCTATTACCCTCCGTTTCAATTCATACCATTCCGTTCTTTTATTTAATTTCATTCAATTCCATTCATATGGAACGTGTCTTTCGTGCCGATGTAGTGGGTTTCCTTTGCCTTTGTTCTGTTCTTTGTAATTGCAATTTGATTGATCTCTAGATCTCATTATTTTTCAAATGTATTGCTTTCGATTTATCAACAAAATATTTTTAAAGTATATCTTCAATCATTTCTGACTTCATTTTCTTTTTCCATTTTAGTTCTACGCGATGACTTCCGCTCGCAGCCGAAGGACACACGTGTGGCTAAAGGCGAAACCGCTTTATTGGAATGTGGTCCACCGAAAGGTACACCCGAACCAGCGCTAATATGGATGAAGGTAAGTACCAAGAATTACAAAAATATATTAGGAGTATATTTGCACCTATAAACATATATTGTACAATATAATATATACTTGTATATATGTATGCGGTGACACACATCACCAAAATTATCACTATAAAGCAAAACTAGACCATAATATGCAAAACGAACACACATAAAATTCTAAACCTGAACATTTCGCACTGTCGCCTTGATTGCTTGTTGCATCAAAAAGTTGGTTAATACTCTGCTGTAAGTACGCTGTTGGTGCAACATGCTACATGCGTGCATTATGCATGAGACAGCGCTGTGGCAAATGTTGCAAGTGAAAATTTACATGTTTTTTCATTTTGATTTTTCCCTGCGCTGAAGAAAAATCATAAATAAATAAAAATGGTGTTAGAGTGCATTTGCCCAGCAGGTTGTCAGCTGGCAGCGTTTCATGCATACACACACAAACATAAATTGGTGCATTTATGCCAGTATATATATTGCTCGCTTATGTGGATACAGTCTGACTTTCAGATATGCAAATATGCTTGTATTTATATGTATGTAATTTGTGTGTCTGTGTGTACGTAATCACAAATGTTGCCATATTTATTTGCACAAATGGAAAAGCGGTGAATTATTTATGCGCCCGGCTGTCAGAAAGCGAAATGTGTATGCATAAATTCGCTTTGAAAGCGATATGCCAGCGCAGGCGACAAGCGTTGAAGGTGCAAGTAAAGACGCACGTTAACAGCGAAGGTGTTTTGCCGTATTTGTCAAGCGAAAATGTAAATAAAATTCGCTAAAGTGTGGTAAAATTGAGTGTTTGTAATAAATATGTTGTGAATATGCATGTATATATATGTATACATATTTAGTAATACGTACTTGTATTATATGTATACAAATATATTTGGAAAAAGTTTGCAGTATTTGAAGCGCAAGTCAAATTAAAGCTTAATTTTGAAAGGTATGAATTACTTACAAGACATCCTCTGCATTAAACTGTTATTAAACTCTCGCAACAAGTTGCTACAGGGTATACAATTTTTTTTCACCTAATGATTGTTAGTAAAATATTAAACTAATCGTGATAAATATAGAGTTATGTATATACTTATAAATGATCACGAGACGAATTGAATCGGAGTCACTGTCGGTTCGTCCATCTGTGGAAATGCAAACTTCAGTAAAAATTTATATATCTTGATGGTACACGAGTTCCGCTTGGCACACAAGGGAGTATGATATTGCATATAAGCGAAATTGAACCATTACCACGCCCACAAAATGATGTTAAACGAAAACACATAATGTGCTTTAACTAAACTTCAAATTTAGATACAAACCCATTATTTGATACAAGGGATTGTAACAGAAAGAGCATATGTGGGCTTAGTATTTTCTAAAAAGCAGGATTGTTTCCGCTCTCTAATGGGTTTAATGAGCATATCTCAGAAACTACTAAAGCTATTTCAACAAAGCTTGCTGATGGGTCAGATGATAACCACGTCCCCTTCGCATATAACCATTATGTTGAAAACTACTTAGCAGGCGTTAACTCAATGAATAAACACGTCATAGACATTTAATGTTTATTATCTAACATCCAAGGTGTTACGAAAGGTCTTCAAAGCAGCCGGTGTCAAAACTGTCAAATGGGCATGGCGCCGCCTACCTTTAGGTAAAATCTTATATCTCAGGAGCTACTGGACTAATTTCAACCAAATTAGTATACGGCATTATTTCGACATTCGTATGTTATGTTGTGAATATTGCGAAATCTGACAACTTCCCATATATAAAAATTTTATAATCCGTATAAATAATATATTTTACGAAATATAAAGCACTAACACAAATACTGGCGTAAGACTTCGAGGAAATAGTATTCGAATATTTTTGAACGTTAGATGGCATACTTTAGCATCTACACACTGAATATATGGTCCTAGGTGCTTTGAACTGATTTTTTCCTAAAAAATTTGGAACAAATCTGAGTGTATTATTTAAATTCAGAGAGAATCTTTTCTTAATAATAATATGCATTCGGGTCAAAACTGGGTAAAATCGGGTCAATACGTATATAACACTCATAAGCCCCATTTATATAATGTAAAGATTTTCGAAACTGTGGTTGACTTTATGTACGATATTTCTTTAAGGTATCTCAGATCGGGCATTAAACATGTCACCGTGAGTATGTATCATCGGTCAATATGTGTGATATCTTCAATAAATTTAAGTAGCATCTCTTTCTAATGACAGTGTGTTCTTATGCGTATAATGTATAAAATCAGGTCAATATTATCCCTAGCCCCAATACCTATCGTACCTACTTGTATTATACGCATTTTAAACTTCCGGTTCAATTTATAGCGTATGTATTGGTCAATATGTAAGCTGTAATTACAAAAATAAATGAACACATAATATTGAACAGAATAATTATTTACTTTAAATAAAAACTAAAATTAATAAAATGAGTACTCCAAAAAAAGTTTTAAAAATAAATTTTTTTTTATATCACATTTTACTAATCTTTTGTTTTTTGGTTATTGCCTTTCTATATGAAAATCTCACTTTAATTAGATTTTTTTCGAAATATTTTTTATTTTATTTTATAATTATTTGAAAAAAAATTTTGTTAAAAAAAATTGTTAAAACTTTTTTTCTAAAGCATTAATGTAAATAAAGAAAAATGACGATATCAAGTTAAAAAAAATTATATAATATGTTATTGTTTAATATGTTTAATACATTTTCTTTTCATTATATAATAATCGAAAAATACCAAAGTTATACACATATAATAGGCACTGAAGGCTATTAGTTTGAAATGTAGCGCTATTACACAAATTATTTAAAAAATTACATAAATCGGTTTAAGATATGCACAGCTGAACCTACTCTAATAACATTGTTGAATAACTTCAGCCTTATGCTGCTTTAAATAATAATGAAAGAGAAACAGCAAATTACGATAAATATAGTTAAAGCACATGCAACGATTTCTACAAAAAATCAAAATAACAAAAGTAGACTTAGGCTAACATGCCTAGGATATTTTAGCATGCTGCTGAATATAAATGTAAGATGTAAAGTCAGCAGTTAATAATAAATCGAACTATATACTTATAAAAATATAGGTACGTATAATATAAATATATTATATATTGCTTAAATTTCATAAAAAAAAAAATTTTGAAGTCAAACTAACTTTTTCACTCTCTTTCTCTCTGTTCTGTTTTTTTAGGACGGCGTACCATTGGATGATCTAAAAATTAAATCTTATGGCCCCACCTCACGTATACGCGTCGTCGATGGCGGCAATTTATTGATCAGCAACGTGGAGCCCATCGATGAGGGCAACTACAAGTGCATCGCGCAGAATTTAGTCGGCACTCGCGAGTCCAGTTATGCTAAATTAATTGTACAAGGTGAGTTTAGCTAAAAGTTTGAACACAAAATACAAAAATTTATCATCATCACACAATAATAACCAAGATAAACTTGCAACAAAACAGCAACAACAACAATAAAGAATTGTAGTAAAACAACGCTCAGTCACGTGCAGCCAAAAAAAATGTTGCCACAACTTGCTTTGCCTTATCCCACATTATTTAATTTTCTTATATGCATATTTATAGTGTTTCGTGTTGTTTTTGTTGTACTTAACTTTTTGGTTTATTGCTGGTTTACCTGCTTATTTAATTTTGTCTGCTTTTAGTTTTCTATTTTCCCATAACTGGCATCCTTTCGGTTTCTTTATGCGCACGAAACGTGTTTATCGATTTTATTATTATTATTTGTTATGTTTTTTGTTGTTGTATTTTTATTAGTTTGCTTGTGAGGATGCTTTCAAGCAAATGCAATTTGAATATTCAAGCGTTTTTGTTGCCTCAGCAAAAGGTTTCTCATGTTGCCGATAAGGTGTTGATTTTGCTTAGATAACTGTTATAAGTGGTCATGAATGGAAAGATCGTTGGTTGTATGTACGCATATATGTGTGGTAGTATATAAATACGTATCTATAAATTGAATTGAAATGTGCGTGGACACAGTGACATGTTAGCATGGCGTGATAAGAGTGGAATTCTCACTTATTTTCTGATTTTTTTTATGAAATATACATATTTCTGTATATATTTTCAATTTAAAAGAATATAAATGTAGGTATATATGAGTATTTGCTTAAGCGTGTGGTTTTCTGCTGCGTTTATCTCAGTAGGTCAAAGTTTATTGAGAATTACGTAATCTGTAATCGAAAACAAATCAAAATATTTTTGCACAATGTGTCTCAGAGAATACATAGAAAAAGATAGAAACTTTCTGTATGGATACACACGTGCGGTTAAGAAGGCGAGCAGTTTCTCCTCTATTGCTCAGCTTTTATCAGATTGAGATTGAAATATTTTGGTAGTTACACTTATATATTAACCGCCTTAACAAATTTGTGGCAAGCCCAAACCGCTTCCACGATCTATGAGAATGTGGTGATATATTTTTAGAGTTTTTGCGTATCACATAGGACCAACGTTGTCCGAGTGAGATCCAGCACTACCTTCGGCGCAAGGATCAACCCTACGACCTATCCTAACCTAATCTCATATAACTATTCTTATATTATATTGAGCTTTCTTGACTGCATTATTTTCGTATTTTGTATATAAACTAGAAATTCTTTCGAGTCTATCAGTTCAATTAAGGTCTTAGAAAGGGTGAGAGGACGAAGATATAAATTTTCAACTGTAAATTTGTTGTAGTAAAATTTTAATCGATTTAAATAAATAGACTTAGGTGACCATATTTGATACAGCAAAATTCGGGACGATTTTTTATAGTCATCAATTTTTTCCATATTACAATTCACTGAAAATCGCGACATATAATGAGTGAGAGAGGAACACAATTTTATTCAATTCTTTTTTTTTTTTTGTTTTTTAATTTCAAAGTCCTGGATGACTGGGACGCTTAACTCGGAATCCGGGCTGTCAAACCGGGGCGAATGGTCAGCTAACGATAGGTTTTACACAGAAATTGGGTTCAAGATGTTACATAAAGTTATTCTTTGAACTTTCGGACCCTAAAAATAATTGTTTACCATCAAAATGAAAATATAAAACTGCGTATTGTGTAATTAATATAAGAAATATTGAATGATTTATGATCAAATTTCCTAATCCCGATACGCTAAGACCTTGGATAAAAGAATACAACCGAAATGCGGTATCTACAAACTAATTTAGAATGAAGGATGAGAAACAATCCAACAGTCGATTATCCGGCGTATATTTTAACTCAATCTCGGCTAAAAGTGTCATTATTATTTATCAAATGAAAAAGGGTTTTTTTCGATTTTACTATTTTGTGATATAAAATGCTCATATAAAGAAGCTTTCAAAGTGAAAGCTCTTATTTAAAAAGTTTTGATATTCATATAGAATTACCGCGCAGTGAAGCAAGACGTATATTTTTATAAAATTAAAACCGTAACTGTTGCTCTCAAATAAATTATTTTATCGAAGAACGATAAATGATCCATAAAATCCTGTCTATGCTCAGTACCGCTATTTATTTTCACTTAAAACTTTCCAAAATAAATATTTACACAATTTAGACTAATCTCGGCTCTGCACTCTCACAAATGCATATCGCAAATAACAACAATAACTGCACTTACTACTTTTAGCCCTTTATTTGGCTACGCTGAACGAAAATCAAACAGAAAAAATCGGACAAAAACGAACTTTTATTGAACGAATTTGCTATTAGCATAAATTTTCTAGAGAATCTGCTGTTGCACTTAGTGGCCATTCACCGCACATTGGCGCAGTAAATAAATAAATACAGTAAGTCGGGCAGCGGCAGCCAACTTGAGAGAATGTAATGGCAAAACAATAAAAAGTTATGACTGCAATGATAAATAGAAAGAGAAAAAAGGAGAAAAATAAGAATAGCAGAAAAGCTCACAGCAAAAATCGAAGTCAAATGGAACTGGAAATGTGCATGTGACCGAAATGTCGGTGATGCGCTACTTAGTGCTTGCCACTGTTGTTGTTGTAGGGATAGCGAGCCGCCAGCAAAGCTCACACAACACAGCGGGCTCCGAAGAAATGTGGCCTGTGCCTGTGAATTTTCAACAGCAGTAAAAAAAGGAAAACAAGTTGAGTAAAAGTGAATGCGAAGAAATGCATAAAAAATAAAAAAAAAATAAAATAAAAGTATGGTAAAAGAATAGCGCAAACATAGCGTATCAAAGCGACGACACACATAAAATCTGCACAATTGCATAAGCGAGCTGAGCGCAACATTAAATGCACTGCATTTGCGCATAGTGATTTGGGAAAGGTCCGAGGGGAGCATCAGTGTACAGCTGTGGGGCAAATGCACACATATATGCATATATGTATGTATGTTTGAGGGATTGACAAGTAAGTCAGCGCAAGTGCATAAGCTTAATGTGTTGGAAAACGTTTGAAAATTCACAATTTGACATACAATTTTATTGTATGTTGATTTCCAAATCATTTCGAAGTCAAAGGAAGATTTGCTACAATGAAAGTAAGCAGCTATGAGTATGCTTTCGAAATTTATATTTAATGTACATATTTATGTAAAACGACAATTACTTTTTTGTTTGGTTTGACATTTGCTATTATTTGTAAATAGTGCGAATTTTTTTATATAAATAAAATATTTGGTAAATATACATTCAATATATTATATTAAATACAATATACGTAAGAAATCTTGAAATAGCTCAAATAAAAACAAAACCCCTTATTTATAATTAGTTCTAACCAATAAAAATATTTTCATTGTCAGCCAAATATTACACTTCGATATATTTCATTGAAATTTTCTAATTTGCATAATTTTCAAAAATATTATTTTTCAACAATATTTATTTTTAAATATTAATTTTAAAAAAATTTAAAACTTTAAAATATTTAAAAATTATACGAAATTTTTTTAATTTTCTGAATTTTGAAAATATTTTTTGAACGGAGTATGAATATTGCTCAGTATAATTAATTAATATATTTTAAAATATATATTATTAATTATTTTTTTTTATCGATAACTTTTTTACGTCAAAGCTTTTTAATTTAAATTATAATTTCTGCTAATTTTTATTAAAATATAATGAAATACTCAAAATGTTACCTAAATTTAAAATATGAATTTTTATACCCTGAACACCCAGAAGAAACGTCGGAGACCCTATAAAATATATACGTAAATGATTAGTGAGACGAGGTGAGTCGACTATAGCAAATAGCTACCAAACAAACTGATCTATCGAAATCCAATCCTTGTATCGAAAGCTTTTTTTTTTGACAAAATATCTTCACGAAATTTGGCATGGATTAACGGTATAATCTCTGGAAAAAATCATTCAGATCGGACCACTATAGCATATAGCTGTCAAAAGAACTAATCGATCAAAATCAAGTTCTTGTATGGAATCTTTTGTATATGTGAAGGGTATTATAGCAGTTCCGCTGCAACGGAAGTTAAGGTTGCCTTTCTTGACATATCATACGGTATCAGGACATATGCATAACCTGTTTATTAGTTTCTTTGTCCAATACTATACAGAGTGCAGTAATGTGTTAGGGACTTATCATTGCAATAACTTTCTGTGCAGAGATTGTAAATAACAGAAAGAATGAAGTGCTAAATTTGGAAGAAATCTAATATTATATTTGCATATTATTGTTGTTGCTTGTGGTTATTTTTAAGATACTAATATTTTTTTTCTTTTTTTAATTTATTATTTTAAAAGTAGGAGGAAACTAATATCCTGTTTATTTGAAACTTTCTGTTATATATCCGGTATATATCGGCTAAACGATAAAGACTCGATAAATAGATAAAAATCTTTGCACTATTTAATAAATTGAAGCGAAATTAGTAAAATTTACGATATTAATTAAGTTATTTCAGAAAATTATCATGTACCTATGTATTTACGTATGTATTCTAATGGTTTGAATATGTACAATAGTTTCAAAAAAAATTATTAATTGCTGCAACACGGTTTTTTCATTCCATTAAACCATATTCAAAACCAGTAGCAATCGCCTTCCTCAATTAACTACTGCTATTTGAATAGATAAAATTTTATTACACAACTGATAAGCCAATCGAGTTCATTAGCATTACATTAGTAGTACACACAACCCTAAAAATAGAAACGGCGCAAAGCACAAATGTCATTTATTCGCCTCTCAAGGCATTAAATTAACCTTTTTATTGCACATTCGTGCGCCAAGTATACACAAATAAATATATACATGCATATATATGTAACATAAGTGCCTGCATATGTAAATAATTGGTGGGCCCCTACTGACGTTAGCGACATGGGCACCCACACACACACACAAGGAGTCGCTTACACACACGCGTGCATCCCTTCAGGTGCTTTTCGAACAATTGAAAATACATGCGAAGCGCTTGTAGGCGCCACTCAAGCAGCGTTACGCTAACGATGGCAGACAACAGCGCCAACAGCAACAACAACAATTAGAATACACGTAATGAAATATAGCAATGAAAGTGTTAGCAAGGGAAGCGAAACAGTTTGATGGCGATAAGAGACTCGTGTGTTTGTGTTTGCATATATATGTGTTTTAGGGAGGCCTGCCGGTGACGCCACAAATACTACCCACGCTGCGTGAGCCACTTAAAAGTGCGCTTATGAATATTTTTGTTGGCTTTTCACTGCAGCAAACATAAATATAGTGAATGAAATGCTCAGTTGTGCGATCAGATAAGTAATTATATATGTATGTATTGTATATAGAACACTCTAACACTCTGCTGTTGCATAGCTAGTGAGGCGGCTATCAACTCACACATCAAATTGTACACAAAGTGATATGAATATGATTTTGTTTATAGGAAAAAAATCGATTAGGTAAATAAAATTGTTTAAAAGCAAAAAAAAAAAAAAAAAAAAAAAAAAAAAAAAAAACTAGCTATTGGAGTATAGGGTGTGAGTGTGTGAGTGTGTGAGTTTGGTGTGTGCTATGCGAACTTGTGCACATGTGTATTTACTTATGCGAGCGTGCTGACTATGCGGGTCGCTACTTTTGTTTACAAATAACTGTTTATTTGCTCGTGATTACGCTGGAATCAATGAGCTTTAAAAGTGAATATAAAAGCGCTTTCACACGACATGTATCATAATAAAAAAGTAAACAGGAAGCGCATAATGCTTTAATGCATTGTTTGAAGTGAATAATTTTCTTGTGTAGAAATTGCACTGTACTGCACGGAGTCAAAGGAATCGAATATAAAATATTATGAACTTTTACCTGAAAGACTGCAAAGCTTAAAATTAATATTTACATAAAAAAATGTATTTATTATTTTATAAACACATGCACATCTCTAAAGTGTTTCGTTAACGACGCGCAGTCTGGTTTTTATCAGAATTCATTAAAAAAAAACAAATTCTAATATAGTAATACTAATACTAAAGTATGTGTGAAGATTCTTATTTTGATATTAAAAACAAGAAAAACGTAAACTTCACAAATGCAAAAGATTTCTTACAAGAACTTTGATCGGACAATTTGTATGGCAGCTATATGCTATAGTGACTTGATCTGAACAATTTCTTCGGAGATTACATTATTGCCTCGGGGAATAACGTGTGCGAAATTTGATGAAGATATCTAGTCAAATTAAAATGTATTCCATACAAGCACCCGATGCCGATCGTCCAGTTTGTATCGTAACTACATGTTATAGTGGTTAAATTCGGCCGTTCCGACAAATGAGCCGCTTCTTGGTGAGAAAAAGACGAGCGTTAAATTCCAAATCAATATCTCAAAAACTAAGAGACTAGTTCGCATATATATATACAAACGGACATGTAGACAGACTTGGCTTCATCGACTTAGTTAGTCACGCTGATCATTAATATATACTCTGGATATCTGATGCTTCCTTTGCAGTGTTACAAACATTTTGACAAAATTAATATTATATATCTGTTCAGAGTACAATCAACTATAAACTCATAGAAAATAATTGTTTCTTACTAAAAAGCCGTTTATTAACTCTAGTTGTAAAAAATTAGAGAAAACAATTATCTACTTAATTTACCTAATTATTTTAACATTTACAAAAAAACATACTGATAATAAAATTCTAAAAAAATAGTAACAAAACGCATATGAACAGCTCCATTTCTGCTAAGCTCTAAATGCGGACCTAAATTGTCAGCAATAGTCCGGACCTGGTTTTTGTTGGTGTAACATTCACATCATGCCGTTTCTTCTCCAAAATAGAATACTTTGTTACACATTAAATTACAATACTTCGCGGTTCTCAAAAATATTCTTCATATATTTAATTGACAAATAGACGAAAGCTAGGCGCATATCTAAATTTCTAGCAGAATTATTCATACCAATGCGCCAAAATTTAGGCAACATTTTTTTTTCTTTTAAATATATATCACTACGGAATGCATTTACTTGCACTCCAATATCAAGCAAGAGTTTTAGAATAAAATCAACACACATATACTTATAAATGTGAAGAAAAAAAACACTACAAAGGAATTCTTGATATATATTTTTTGATATAAAAATTATTTTAATTAAATTCTATCTTGCTTTTAATGCTTTTTAATTTAAAAAAATAATTATTTTTATTTCTTTATGCCTTATCACGAGTTTATTTACTCCCATCTAAGTATCTGTTTATATGATCATCAACACATACATATCGTCGTCTCTAAAACTTATCACCAAAAGCGTAAAAAAGCAAAAACTATAATGTAGCTCGGTTACGGTAGTAATTATTTACTTTTACCGCCACTAAAAGAAACTCGAACAACAGTGATAAAAACGTGAAATGCACTAGTTGTATATGTGTTGTATGTATGTATGTGTGCGTGTATGTGTGAATGTAGTGACATGTGAAAAGTTTAACGAGTGAACAAAAAGCACTGCTGTAAACTTTATCTCATTCACAATGAGTGTCTCCCATAAGAGAGAGCACATTAAAAGCTCTTTAAAATAGTTGACCTGTTAGTTTAGTGGCGTTTTTTGCACAACTGCTCACACACATGCGGCAATGGGAGAACACTTTTTCTTGCAACACGAAACTTTTCATTGCGTGCTAAAGAGAAAATAAAATACTTAGAAATACAGGAGAGTATAAAAATAGGAGCCAAAATAATAAAAAATTAAAGCATGAGTAGCAAATTGCAAGCAAGGAGTTTAGTCTGCACAAAAAAAAAAACAAAAAAAAAAAAAAATCTACTAAAAAGTGCAACAACAATACAAGTAGTGTGAAAAATAGTTAAGATTTTTTCTCATTAAACTAGAGAAATAACGCTCTTTTATGAACTTAAGTACCAGTACTTAGCAGGACTGTAGAAATTACCGTTAGCGCAAAGAATGTCCAGCAGTTGACAGCGCTGTTGTTTCTTCCACACTTTATGTGTATGTGTGTGTGTGTGTGCGGGACACTTTAAAGAAACTTAAAACTATTATTGGAAAAGTTTTACCAGCGCCAGTCTATTTCTGGCATGGGTGCCCAAGTGACAAAAGCAGCGGTTTCTCGCAGACTTATCCATTTGCAGAAATCTCCATTAACTTTTGCTGCGCCACTTTGCTTAGACCGGAAGTGCTATGTAATTGCTATTTATGAGTAACGGTACTTACGCAGCCAAAGCTCATTGCATTGCATAGTTGTCGCTTTAATTCAAAACTTTATTAATTTCGCTGGAGTATTGCTACTACTACATACTTTCATAGACAATCAACCCTTTTAATGTGAACTTTATATATTTTAGTTTAACTGCATTTTATCTGATGCTCTTGAGCTCATAATTTTTCAATTGCGCGCACTTGTCGCTTTTTAATACGTTTTCCTTTAATTTTAACCACTCTCTTTCTCACTCTCTTTTTCTATCTCGCCTACAGTTAAGCCGTACTTCATGAAGGAGCCGCAGGATCTCACCGCACTCTCCGGCCAAACGGTGCAGTTTCATTGTCTCGTCGGCGGCGATCCGCCACCGAAAATATTGTGGAAGAAGGAGGACGGCAACATACCGGTGGCACGTGCGCGTATCCAACAAGACGACAAAAGTTTAGAAATCACCAACATTTCGCCAGCCGATGAGGGCACCTACGTGTGTGAGGCACACAATAGTGTCGGTCAAATAAGTGCACGCGCCTCGCTGATAGTACACGGTAAGTGTTCTGGAATACTTTAAGAGAGCGGGGGTGTGGGTGATTAGAGAGCCAGTGAAAATTTTCTAATTTTTGGTATTAATTGTGTGCGCGGGTACAACGCGCAGAGAGCCGCAGGCATAACCGGTCTAGTGGCTTTGAGTGAGTACATGGTAAAATTGGCGCGTAACTTTACTAATTAACGATTTTTGCATGAACTAGTGAAGTTCGTGATTTTGATGTGAAATTTGCAGAAAATAAAAATTATAAGTAGATTTTGCAAACGAGAAATTTAGCAAAAAAAAAACGAGAAAGTTTTAAAACTAAAGATTAATATGTACATATGTAAATAATTAAACTAAATAATATATATACTAAATCATCTGATCAATTATGACCCGAACTGGTCCATAAGAACTGCGCGTAAATCGATTCACTGTTTCGGTTCAGACTACCTTATCACGAACACAACTCCATCCACCGCCGTTAATAACAATAACATAAAAACATTAAAGAAACCGTGAAACTTGAAAATCGTCGTCTTGACATCAAAGAGATAGCCGAGCATTCATAATCTCTTATAGATCGACCTATGAATATTTTGGATGTGAATCTGAATCTTATACAAAAATTACGTGGGATAGAGGTCGCAAAAGAGATGCTTGACAACATAGCTGAGAACCCTACATTCATCAAATGCATTACTGGTAACGGGACGTGGGCTTACTAATATGACGTAAAAACTATTTAACATCTGGGAAATGGTGTTCCGAAATTGGAAACCGAAAAGACAAAAATTCGCTGAAGGCACTGAAGGCCATCTCAGCCTAGGCTTATAATGTATATGGAAAATTGAAAAATTAAGTATTGGCTTTCTTGTATTGGCTCCAAAAGAACCAATTTTGAGCGCGATAATAAATAATTGTAGTAACAGTCCAGGACAAATTTGATCAGTTGTACAATTAAAAAAAATGTTACGACTTTACTCACACCGTTTTCTTCCAATTATCCAAAAAAAAAAATATATGGCTTTATAATATTTAAAAAATAAAAATAACAAGGAAGTAAAAGCACAACAATAAAAAACTGTTATATTCTTTAAATTAATTTCTTCCTTTCATAATTTTCACACATTCTCTCTCTATTCTGACAGCGCCACCCACATTCGTTGTGAAGCCACAAGATAAAAAGGTCGGTCTCAACGGCGTTGCTCAGTTTCCTTGCGTTGCCGATGGCAATCCGCCACCATCGGTGTTCTGGACAAAAGAGGGCTCCTCCACCCTGATGTTTCCCAACAATTCGTACGGTCACATGCATGTCTCCGTCGAGGGCACACTACAATTGAGTGGCGTGCAAAAGGACGATGCCGGTTATTATGTATGCTCGGCCTTTAGCGTGGTTGACTCGACGACGATACGGGCATTCTTGCAGGTGAGTGATGAGAACTTCACAACAGACATATTCTTTCTTACATATATTTATGCATATACTTACTTGTACCCGTTACACAAAAGTGCTTGGTAGGTGAAAGGAGCTAGGACGCTAGCGTACAGTTCATGCATCTGGCACCGCTTAAATTGCATTGCAGTGAAGAAATGAAAAAATTTTCGAGCCAGAAACGTATAAATTAAACTAGCATCATGGCAAAAATATTTTAAATTCGTTCACTTTAATTGTATGCTCTCTTTTTGCAATTTAATTGGATCAAATTACCTTTGCTGGCCTTAAAAGCGTTTCAGTTACGCTTTTTCCACATTAAAAAAAAAATCTTTTTTCACATTTCATCGCTGAAAAGTATTTTTTGCCATAATTTGTTTTTCAGTACCATCATATCATTTGGTAGTATTTGGCAGCCTATTGTAGTGCTCTTTCGGCTTTGTGTTACACATTGTCATGGCGAGAGACGATTCGTACGAAATTGTAACCATGGTTGCCTTTGTGCGCCCACAGTTCACAAAGGATTGTAATTTTACACATTTTTTTGGTATTGTTTTTGTTGGCAAAAAATATTCTGAAATGCGACTTGTCATCTACTAATAAGTCAGATTGTAAAGCGAACGAAATCCTAAAATAATTATGAAATACCCAGTGGGAAAATTTTCTATAAAAGTCATGTTCAAACTATATTGAGTCAGTGCTAAAAATCTATTTCTGGAATTTTTTATGAAACAGAAAATCTTCAGGCTAAGCCAAAAAGTTTATATCCAACATGCAAAACATTTCCAAAATAATTTTAATAAAAATTAGTCAGCAAGTTAAAATTTCTTTATTCTTTCACTTAAAGCTACAAAATATTATCCCACTTCACCTAACTATTCTTTTTTAATTGAATTCCTTGTGTCTTTTTTTGAGTTCTGTGAGTGCTTTTATATCCTTTTGTAGGCCAATTTTACATAAGCCTGCTTTACTAGAAGGTTTATAATAATGAATACTACATTCTTACTTATCTTATTTGTTGCTATAGGTTACCTCTGTGGATGACACTCCACCGCCGATCATTCAAATTGGTCCCTCAAATCAAACGTTACCCAAAGGCAGTGTTGCTATGTTACCATGTCGAGCAACAGGCAATCCAACACCACGTGTCAAGTGGTACAAGGATGGCACAATGTTGCAGAACGGCAATCGTTATACCATAGTGCAGGGTGGCTCGTTGCGTATCGATGGTGAGTAATGATGAAACATTTAAATATATATAGTTTAATTGAAATAGACAAATATTTAAATATGATATCAAAAGTCCAGAGAAAAACTTATATTTTATTAGTTAGCACTTTCCTTTTGTTTCTCCGATTATTTTTATGAAAATTTAATTGAGTTTAAAATATAACATCCATATTATCACACATCAATGGGTGTGCGTCTCGAGTAAATATAATTTATGCGCACAAAAATAGGCAACGTTTTAATTGTTTTATTCCGTGTTTAGTTTGCATACTAAAATTAAGCTTGCCTACAATTAGGTTGTCTTCAAATGAGTTTGCTAGCGAAATAATCCCCTTAATGCTATTTTAAAATGAGAAATCCTTAAATTAATGTTATATAAAGGTCTTAAACAAGATTTACAGTTTGCTAATAAAAGAAATTTCAGTTTCCAACATTTGGAAATAAGTTTTCAGAGTTTCAAAAGCTCTCTTGTAATAGTAAAATTCATTTTCATTAATTAGAAAAACTCATATTTGAAAATATTCTTATTTGAAACCACGAAATCTTGAAAATAATTTTTTATATGAAATAATAAAATCATTTTTCTTTCCTTTAAGACTTACAACAAAGTGATTCCGGCCTATTTACTTGCACCGCATCATCAGAGAGTGGAGAGACCTCATGGTCAGCAACTTTGACGGTAAGTTTCAATTTCCATATATAATTTTTCTAATTACTTCTCAAACAACTGCCAATATAGCGAACCCACTTTAATATTTAAAGCTAATTACAACACACACAAAAAACTCTGACTAAATTCACAAATTAAATATTTATCGCGTATCAGCTGTCGTCGACAAACAAAATATGCCACACGATATCCTAATAAGCTCGCCAAAATGCGCTTTTAATATAATATTTATTTAAAGGTTTCGTCTGTGTCACCATACTTTAAAATCTCACCCAGCACTCTTGACACCTTCGCAGTCTGCTGCACATAAGCACAGACACCGGGGTTTAGTTGTTGTCAGGCTGGCAGCCTTACTGTTTCTCATAAATTCAATTTTATGGCATAATTGTCGCGTCATACCACAAAATGGCAATAACTGTAAATATGCACATGCTCGCTTGCACGCACACACACACACATAAACTAATTCATACATAAATATTACACATGTGTCCAATATATATTTGCGCTTCAATTTGCCTTTCCACGGCCTTCGTCCGTTCAGTATATTGCAACAAATACTCGCCCAGGCACGTTCTATGTCCAATCACTGACTAAGTGACCCAAGCGTGTCACAGCTGCGCAGCTACTTCATTTACTTTGTCCCCATTTCGGGCGGCCACTGTGGTTGGAGCGGACTTTTATGCACTCTGCTGCTCGACTGCTGGACTACTCGTATATTTAAATCCTTATTTTGCGAGCGTACATCCAATCGCCTGACTCGCAGGCTTGTTAGCTTACAGGCAGGCTGGCAACCCAGTTAAAAGCAATAAATGTTTAAAATTAATTTGCTGTAAATTTTGTATACTTTGAATTATGCACTTTAATTTTAAAAGTGGTCGTGGCCTCAGCGAATTTGCCATACAGTGCGGAAGGGGGCTGAGAGTGAGAGAAAAGTAGTGTGAGAGTGAGCGGGCAGCAAAACACAGCAGCATTAATTACCGAGTTGTAATTTATAGGCTATTAAGTTTACCCGTGTAAATATTTTATAAATATCCCGGCTGAGGTATATTTATGCAAATATAATCAATCGATAATGGCGCAATGAAGTTAGTAAAAAGGATGCGAATATTTAGCTGTGAATAATTTATATGTATACTAATAATAAATTGAGTTCATTAGTATTGTACCTTTTTCATATTTTTCCGAGTTACTTAGCAGGCTTGTTGTGCAGGATATTTATATATTGTATATTGTAGATATTGTAGCTTTAATTTAAATTTAAACATATGATTTATGGCATGAAAAGGATAAATTAAGACAGGATGTAGAGAGTGAGGTTTAAATAGTAATAGATGAGATTTTATAATTTAGGAAAATAAGTATGGTGAGATTGAAGTAAAAGCATAATTTCGTAAACAGATTTGCACTCGCTTTCTTCATGGCTAGGTTTAAAAATAAACTGATTTGTCTAATGTAAAATTCACCGATTTTTCAGCGCAACTCCTCCAATTACCGGTCACTACTATCGACATCTTTATTCCAAAGTTTCAGTAAAATTAAAAACTATCCTTAAATTAATGGTTCTCATATGCCTGTTTTCAGGTTTCAACCAATATTTTTAACCTTCTACATTATAGGTGCTACAACCACCCAAGCTATTTTTATCGAGCACATTAGCTTTTCAGTCCGTACTTTGCAACACCACTACTATAAACTTTGACTTTTTTACCCAGTTAAGCCAAATACCAATTATAAAGTTTTCCTTAGCAACTCAATTCATCAGCGTAAGTTCTCGAAAGCTATCTTCTCTTCAGCCTAAAACTTTCCGTAATGACAAAGCATACTATTTTGCAATAATAACAACTCTGGCATTTGATCAAGCAAAAATTGTTGACTGTGATACAAAATTAGTTTACAATTGATTGACGGAAGTTCCGCAATCCATCCTGAAGTTTGTCAATCTAATTCGAATTATGCCGAGTTCGCTTCCATCTTTACTTTAAACTAAATTTTTATAAAATATAAAGTCTAGCAAAAATAATTTGATTATTTTTGCATCAAATTGGTGGTTTAACATAAAATTATCCGATTTAGATCAAATATACACCGTTTAGTTTGATAAATTGTTGCCATTTTGAAGCTAATTTAATAATGATACTCTCACAGAAACCCTGGACAAAAAACTGGGACAGTCGATTTCCACAAGCGAATTTTTCACCACAAAATTATTCGCCATAGACAGGAATGTGTAGTGATCACTTGTTGTCAGGTCCGGACTATAGGTTATGCATAGGAACGTTCCAACTAAGCTCCCGAAGCTTCTGGCGAATACAACTATTGTCCTATGCAAAGCTAGCCGCTTCTGGGCGATTGCTCTTTTCAGGCAGTGCAATTGTTGACAACAAAGGTCCGAATTAAGAGTTTGGTCGTAGCGAATCAGCTTATAGTAAATTATTCTCTGCCAAGCTAACCAAACGCTTAGCACAACCTTTCCGGCCGTCAATCCTGGCTTGGCTACCGTTTGCACTGGCTCAACGTGATTCGACCATGCTCATTTTCACTTCATGGTGACGAAAGAGTCCAATTTTTCATCAGCAGTAACCGCGCGCTTCAGAAATGGAGCGATTTTGTTGCAATGCAGCAGCGATTTGCAAATGGAAATTTGGTCCATGAGGTTTGTTTGCGTTAACTCGTCTGGCACCCATAAAATCTTTCTGTAATATGCCTTCTTTAAATGGTTTTATACCCTGCAACGATATTTGTAACACTCAAAAGCAAGCGTCGGAGACCCTATAAATATATTTATCTAAATCAGAGTCGGAATGATGAGCGATTAAGTCCGTCTGTCTGTCTGTATATACGTGAACTAGTCTCAGTTTTTGAGATACCGATCTAAAATTTTGCGCATGTCCTTTTCTTCACAAGAAGCTGCTCATTTGTCGGAATGGCCGATATCGGACCACTATAGCATTTAGCTGCCATACAAACTGAACGATCGGAATCAAGTCCTTGTATGGAAACTTCGCTATTTGTGTAGAATATTCAGGCTTCGGTGCAACCGAAGTTAATGGTTTTTCTTGTTTTTGTTGATATTTCTAACAATTGGCCTTTACAGAATCAGGTCCATAAGGCCCTACAGTATAACCCGATCGCACTTATTCAACAAGAAGTACAGATTATTAAAGCCATATATTGGAAAAAATTTACTTTTTTTTGCTACACTTTATATATTTAGCGACAGTCTATTTTATTCTGATCGTTCGCTTGTGGATATTCGAATTGCGTATAAAGTTGTCCGTACTCATACAGTTTCGATCCATCAGCTTATTAAGACTAAGAAATCGACGTTGTTTTTCAGAGCGATTTATAAAACGACTTCTTAGAATGTCGGCTTTCGCGGTGATACAAAAATAAAGCTATCCAAAATCATTCATAACTTAAGTTCGAAAATAGTCGTGAATGTAACGAGTCACTAAATAGTTGAGAAACTGGTTTAGCACCTCTTAGAACGTTTCATGTTTTTAACTTTAATTCGCGACACTTACTGTTGCAGCATTTAAGTTTGGTGTAAGCACGATTAGCTGAACATATTTTGAGAAACAAATGTTTTTTCGCAAATAAAATACTATGATGATTCTTAAGTACTCCAGGTATTTCCGCGAACTCTTGGGATACTTAAACTTTAGCATGCAACAAAAACTAAAGTATCGCATGTGATTTTAAGCACGAAAAATTAGAGAGAATTGTGCCCAAAGCAAAAATGCTAAATCTCTGCGCATCAACGAGTTTTCGTCAAAATTTACTGCCATTTGTTGCGCCAACAAATATTTAATTGTGCATAATTCCGCACAAACAACAACAGTAGCAACAATTTACCAATATACATGACATGCGTCAGCACAGCCAACAAAAATGCGCAGCACTAAGCAATGAAAATATTTTAATTTGCATTTTCTTGATGCGAAATTTGCAAAATTTACTGGCGCACAAATAAATTCAGCGGAAAATCGCTGAGCCGAAAGCGATAAAGTTGTGCAAAAACTGCAAAACAAATGTGGAAATATTAAGCGATGGGAGCGTAGTGATTGAGGCATGTTGCCGCTGCTTGTCGGTGGCAAGCAGCGCTAAGTGGTGAACAGCAAGTAGCAGGTTGTGTGTGGCTTATACATACAAGTACATATGTGTGCATGTCTAATATACTATGTAAGTGCGTGAGTAATAAGTGGGATTAGTGCGTATGCTTGTGCAACGCGCTCGTAAGTGGCATTTGTGGCATGTGGCGCAAAAATACTCACTTTATACGCCTTGCGTTTGGCTAATCAAATTTTTATGATGCATACCGCAAAAGTTCTAAAGCACTTGCAAATATTTCATGTACTCATATGTGTGGCAAGCATACAAGCCCATGTGCGCTCCACCTATGCGTGTGGCAGTTGTGTAAGTGCAGCTTGTAAAACACATGTTAAACGCGCAGCTAAACAAATGATGCTAATTTCGTGCGAAACAACAAAAGCGCACAATTTTGCAAGACAAGCAATAATGTTATTGTTATTATTGTTGTAAGTGTTTTCTTTCGATATTCCATGAATCTGTGCATACTTTTAGTTTGCTGCGCGCATAGTTTTGCAGTTTTGCAAGCATTGCCAACATCAAAGTGCAAAGTAATAAAGTTTTTAAGGAAGGGCATACATAACTTTGCTTTAATGCATTTTTGAAGATGATCTCTATAAATTTAGCCTGATGAGAACAAGACCGTGAGTCATAGCAGAACTGAGGTAAGGCGATTAATTGCAAAGCAATATAGATATAAATACATATATCCCTATGTACATATTTATATATTATATATACAGAGTAAGTTGATTATATATAGAGGCAATGACTTCAATTAGAAATCATATTTGGGAAAAAAACTTTTATGGTTCCTCCAAATTTAAAATTATTTCAAGAATTTTTTCTAATTATATTTGATTAAAAAAAAAGAGCCTACGTATTGTTTACTATTAAGCAATAACTAAGCTTATATG